GTTGGAAGCCAACCGTCAGGAAAGATCTAGCGGCGATGTAAACGTAAAAGTCGAGACATCTAGATGTAAGCTTGTTTCTGGTTTTCTCGTGTTTCATTATCTACACCAGTATAGATTTACGCAGTTTACTCGTATAGGATTCGAACAGGCGACTTCGTGGCCTGATCTCAACAACAACAACAACAGCAGAGGAGACGGCTTCCCTTTTTTTTTTCTGTTTAAGTGACATTCATGTAAATTTTTCCACCTGTTCACCTCTGACATACGATCCTTTCATTATATTTAAAGGCATAAAAACACACACTCGTTTTACGGCACACATATTTTTCATGTTTTGAGTTGCTTCTTTGTATTTCTTCATTTTTTGCCCGTCATGGCCACTACCATCGATGTCATTTCTGCAAGCAGTGTTACCATTGATAGAATCGAAACAGACCCGGCCCTTTCTACTTGTTTAGACGCTCGTTCTTCAAATGACGCACGGCCCTCGGATTTCTCGAGCAGTCTATTTTGTCGTAATTCTGCTCATCTTAAAGCCGCGTAGTACCCCTGTATAGACATGCCTGCCGTGCCCCAGCCCCACAAAGCAACCAACGGACGAATGACTGGATAACGAACCCCCTGTCCAACGGTTGCCGTAGTCACTGTTATAGTTGCTGCTTCGACTGCTTCTGTCGCTGTGGCTGCCTTCTCCAAACAGCCACCGTCACCTGGGCGCGCCCGCGCCAACAAATCCGTGGAGTCACCTAGTGGAACGCGCAACCCGGCGCGGTAACCCGTGCTCGACCAGTCTCGACCATTCGCACCTCAACAAAAAAAAAAGCGCGCCAGCTTCGACACAACAAGCGCGGTGTGATCGCCAGCACCATCAGCGCCACCTTCGTTGCCGCTCATCGTCACAACAACTTTAATGTCCGCTACACGGTACACCAGTGACCTATTCTCGAAATATCTACCGCTGATGCTGCTCGTGTAAATAGTGACAGTGGAAGTAAGAGTATAGTATCATAGTAATGTTTATAATAATAATACGTAATCCCTGGTCGGGTCCGCGTGGATAACGCAGACCAACCACATCAGCATCATCATCGTTGTCGACATTCTGCCAGCTTTCTCTCTCTCAATAGGTCGTCTGCCATAGGCCCTGCGCGCGGCGTTCGGCGCCTACATTCGGTTTTCCCGCCAAAACACAGTTCTGGAGAGACATTCAGCTAACTTCTTTGTGTGTTGTTCTTCGTACCGGTTGCTTGTGTGCGGGTGTTGTTATTAGTAGTAACGACGACGGCTTGTTCTTTTGCTACCCTGCTCGTCAGCCACGGGGTCACCCCGACGGTTGTGTCTCAGCCCGCTCCAAATGGTAGTCTGTGATGACGTGTAGTTACTGTCTACGATAGATGCGATGTGTAACTCACCCACCGATCGACCTCCCGCCTACCCGACTGACTGACACGCTGATTCACATAGGTACCGTTCATAGCGATAAAGGAAATTGCGCAGTTCAATTCGGTCGCTAGCGCTTATTCGAGTCGTTTGTTCGTCATACTACACTCATCTAGTTAACCATGCGTGGATGTTTTCTTCTGGCGCTGATGTTGATGGCGACAAGAAAAGATACGTGAAAAAGCGTCACAGGCTTGCGTAGGCCGAAGGATCCGCAGTGACCACCAGTAGCTTGAGCGCTGTAGTCCGTCGTTGGTCAGGCCCTTAGCAGTAGTAGGATTCCCAGCCAGCCTGAGCTAACAAACAATTCCATCCGATTGATTGGATTGTTTAAATCAAGCAAACAGCTGATGATAGCCTAGCGCGCTGTCGGCAATCGATCGGACGGGACGGGGCGTCTGAGAATGGGTGCCATATAATGGAATAGCTGCTGTCGCTAGGCCAAAGGCTGCTGCCGACGGCCCAGTGACGATAAAAGTATGGTTTAGTTGTTGTGGTCCTTTTCGCGCACCACCTAATTTTGGCGTCGCTTTAACCGGGGTCAGAAAAAGGGGAATGTTCGACTGTCTATCAGACAGGCAATGAACAAGAGCAACGAAAAGGGTTCAGTTGATGGGAGCACCAAACACAATGTGCCGTGTGAGGTAGCTACTTCTAGTTGTCGTTGTTACGTAGGAACCTGTGACGCTGGCACGAAGTTTTTACTAGCTGATACAAAAGCAACGAAAGGCAATGGAAGCTCGACGCGTTGTTTGTCCAACTTTATAAAGAGCTTACATAGAACGTAACGAATGAAAGCGGGTAGATTCTTTGTTCTACTGGTGCAGATCAGGGGGGTAAAAACCGTGTATGCGCATACTGTAAATGGCTAGATATTCAGATATTAAGCGGAAAAACACTTATTTGTACGAGCTGTGGAAGAGAATAACGACTTAAAAAAACAGAAATATCATAGAAATGAAAAAAATCATTGTCGCTTCTGATCACTCTCGTCATGATCTAAATACAGAGAACTACATCTAGTGGCGCCAACCAACATCGAAGGCACTGGTAAAGTGGGGGGGGGGGGGGGGGTGCGAATATAATAATAAGAATAATAATAAACGATATTATTTTGCTCACAGACAAGCTGCATACGATTGAATACATACGAAAGCTAGATACGTACTTGAGAATAAGTAATACAGATCCCGTACGGATACTGGTAATGATCAAAGGTTGAATGGTTTGCTTGCGGCCATGCCGTTTGTCGTCGTAAATTAGAAATCGGGGTTATGAACGGGGTAAGAACCGAAACAACGCCTGAGCGTTGCATACGTTTAATAGATAAACGTTTTGAGTCTTCTACGTCTGGTACCGTATATGTTTATATGATTTAAATATATACTTAAAAAAAATCGCTAAAACACGTCTTGATCATAGGAATATTATTCACTTTATTGAAACACACAATTTCGAAAAGTGTGCCGTAGAGCTGCCCTATAAACGAGTTATACTTTTAGAACAAGCATGCGTCCTTGAACACTTTCATGTATATTGTCTCTTTAGCCAATTATGGGGTCTCTTCGAACGTATTAGGTTGGCATGGCTTACTAGATACGCTGGGCGTATCATTTATATACGACGAAACAATAATGGATTTGAATCAATCAGGATCACTTTGTGATCTTCAACAGCAAAAGGTCCAGGCAGCCGACATGCAATAACAGGCCACTATTCTAAGCTACTATTCCTTTTTCTCATCCTAACCAGAAAAATCAGTCGTAAAACCAATCTAGAGAAATACTAAACAAATATTGAGTTCACTTGCGTATTTCCTGCTTCCTGGAGTCTGTCCTGTCTCCAGGTGCCGAAAATACTTCTTATAATCGACTTGCCGCTATAAATAGAACTGTAGGGTGCACTTTCTATTTGAGTAGTTTCGGAATTGACCGCATGACATTTCTAAATTATCCTGTGATGGTTTTAGTAATTATTGATGAAAGACGGTCGTAAATATGATGTATCGTTGCTGGACTCTTCCTAAGTGATTTACGCTTAGAGAAAATTCACATCAGCTGAGGTCAACTGAATGGTTTTCATAGGACCATGCCAATCTTGAGGCACTGCGATGTGAATAGATACGCTTTCCACATTTCGCGACACGTTTTCTGCGTTTGGTGCCCAGGCGGGATCTTACGCAACACGTTAATATGGCACATCAGCTGATATTTGTGTAGTTTTGCTTCAAGTACCGCTAGAGGTCTCCCTGTTTCTCGTGCCAGGTCTGTATTTACCTAATTTGATTAGCAACAACGACATGGTGGTGATGGTGCCTGAAATGAGTCTTCAAATTATGATGATTTTCGCCTGTGTTCCAGGTGCTGTTTTTTTTCTGATGGAGTTTAATGGCATATGCTCGTTGTCGAAGCCCTCAGCAGGAGCTAAGGCCTCCGGCCGTATACTTAAGCAGAGTCGTCTTCTCATTTGTTTCGAGTAGACAACTAACCGATATTAAGCTTCCGCCTTATAGCTAGGGCTGCATGAACCTGGCAGCTTTGAGTAAGCGATGGATCAAACAAATGGTATAAGGACCTTGGAAGCTGCTGTGAGAAACAATATAGCTGTTTATTTTCAGGGAACAAGGCATACGGCATTATGACTACAAACCGTTTCGCGCATTTTACGAAGGTTCCGAGGTGGCCACTGATCGGTAACCAGATCTATGAAATGCATCTGAAGCAATGCCTAACGGCAACACCAGGTAGACTATCGCCGTAAAAAACAAAATGTGTATTCACATAGTTCTTTCTACCACTTATTTGTTGACAGCTCAACCCAACAGACCCAAATGATTAGGCCACATCGAAATATCGTGAAAGGTCTCTAGACAGAAGGCGCTTCTGTCAACGCCCGGTAATCCGTGGCACTCAGCCAATACAACAGTCCGATCGCGGAATGCTTCGAGCTATGGGAATTATATTCCCAGCAGTGCGGAGTTATTTTTACTTGACGATTGGAAAATTGCTATATGCTGTGTTCGCATCTGAACGAAATGCGTTTGGCAAGTTTAAAAGCGATAGTGGCTTGATGAATTTGTCCATGGTGATTGTCCTCAATTTTCTTACGGTGATTAAGAGACAAGAGATACAACTGATGATGACAACCAAATGGATAGGTTATACGAGGTGTGGTAGTCATTCTTCGGCTGCTATCTGTACGGTGCTTTCTATTCAATCAATACGGACACGGAACTACCATGTCATAAGCTATATGCGGGCGATCGATTCAATCTTTGATTGAAAAAGAGCAAGATACCTGCAGTGAAGTAGTTACAAGCTTACGTTACGGTACATAACTTGCAATATCAATCCGTTTCAAAGCATATCCTATTTATAACCACCGCGTCTACATTTACAGTATCCGGTAATTGACGACTTTAGATAACTACTGAAGTTGCAGAGGCTTAATGAGGCAATATATGAAATAGTAATATTAAATAAAACGAATAATGCTGTTGTTAGCATTATCTACGTTCGGTATAGTGCTTGCTCCCTTATAATATACATGCTCTGGTCATTCCGGGATCGAAATCTCGAAAAGTATTTTGAAAATGCATACTCTATTAAACTTTTCTAATTTTATAACACTTTATTGAAATTGCTTTATTAATGAGGTGGTGCCACGGATTGAATAAAGGGAACGAGAAGAAAAGGCTTTGGGTATAAACAACCTTCAAATTTAAACCGGGTCTCGGATTTAATGACGAATAGTATCGGGCCTGTAAAGAGATACAAAGTATATTTCCACTGTTTATATCATAAAAATATGTGTCTTACGTTTGTATCCGATTTTCGTAGTCGACATGGCTAATTCCTTGGTATCGTTTGCCCACAAGGCGTAGGTGAACTACTGTAGAACTCCCATCAAAAAGTAATTGTCAAAAGCAACAACTTATCAGACCGAACAACTTTGCGCTTATGCATGCACAGTGTGCTTCCACATTACATAGATGCGTTTTCGAAATGCCGAAAAGGATCAGCTTTTGTCTGCGATTTAGCGGTTATAAGGTAACCAAGCCTTAGACAGCGTTTTAATAAAGTTTAACTTTTTTTTATTGGTAACAGCACTTGAGCGCTAGAACACGTCCTGTATGATCGTGGAATATTACAAGCATTGCTCTTCCGTCACATCAGAACACTTGTTTCACCCTGTTCGTTTCTGGGGTCTTCCGGCCAACATGTTAGTTACTAAGGGATATCTGCTTCCTCTTTGTGCCCACTACATTGCTCTTGGGGAGAACGGTTTTGAACTTCCCGCAGAGTTAAGGCCTCCATATATGGCGTTCATCGTCGCAAGGATTGCTGCATAGTATTTATTTTGAGACTGCAGTTCAAGTCCTCTAAATATTTAATCCAACTTGAAGCTGCGCTCATAAGTTGATTTAAACGTCTCTTTCAGCCTACCATAGATTCTATGCGTCTGGCTTTATGATCGTCTGTGTCTTATATTAGCATTTCTTCTAAGAACGCCAAATAGAAGGTTTAGGAGCAACTAGCTTGATCATATGTAAGCAATCCCACAGAGATTCTAGAAGCGATTCCTCCCCCCACCTGTATCAAAGGATGTTGAGGAATAGTAGCACCGAACGGTGGGGTGGCCGGGATTATAGGCAAACGATGTCGGTCTGCTTCGGCCAGCGACTCCAACAACAGACATCGAGGGTTTCTTCAACATTTCAAAAGAACGAGTTTCGAGTATTAGATATAAATCTATGCACGTGTTGTGGTACACCGATGGCTCTCTAAGCTGACATCAACATATGAAGCCTTCCATTAGTAAGCAAAGCTCGACAGCATCGGATGGTAGAACAAATGAAGCTTGCAGGTTGCAGACATTATTAATAGCTATTACAGCTTGAATAAGCACAGGCTATTGTATCACTCTACCGATAAAGTGAACAAAGAAGAGCGCAGACAGGCCACAAGTAGACGATATTCATCTAAATTGGGATAACAGCTATACAGATGAACAGACAATTGCATCTGGCAGACAAAACGTGTGCAAGCACACAAGGACGTATTATGCTTGCGACGATATTCAACTTTCACCGTCTTTGACCATGGCCAGCATTGGTTACTTCGTACCGGTACAACGCCAGGTCGACTGTCTCGCGTCTCCGGTCGCATCTGTCTCGACACGTATAACCAGGACCTCCCATTTAATGACGTCTTGCGACGTCGTCGCCGCGCTAGGTCTCACACTGAAAGGCGCCAATAACACTCAGAGTCTCTCCCAGTGGCAATCGACGAGGTCGAACGCTGCGGCTGCTCTTGAAGCTCAATATGTTATTGTAAACACTTTTCAACTATGGCGTCATCACCGTCGATGTAGCATCCCCACGTCATTCATATCCATAAGCCTTTTTAGCGTTCCCCACTATCGCCAACATTCTTGCATATAACTGGCTACGATGGACCTCTCGACAGGAAGGTGATGGCTAAGTGCCAGGACCGGCTGGCGCATTTACTCACCCGCTTCTTTACAAAATCTCAACAATATACGTATGATAATAGATCGAGAATGAAGTCAACACTTAACAGGATAAAACTCGAAGAAAGAGAAACGCTACATGTAGGCTGTCTCGCTCATCATTTCTCTGTGGTTTGCGATATATTTAAGGTTGACTAGATATATCTTTTATGTGTCGGTATTGGTCATGTGTAACCTTGGTGATGAGTCGATAGTCAGAAAAAGTACCCCATCTAGTGCTTGATGATTTCCTCAATAGGTTCGATGCCCTCTGAAGTTGCAAATTTATTGCACAAAGCTAGTGGCTTTAGCGGGTCAGAAATACACTTAGTCTGATTTAGCACAAGTGCACGCTGACTTAAATAAGACTTGAACAGTTACGACGGTATTAACTGCATTCCGTGTTTTCTGGGGACAGGTCACAACTATAGGTTAAATTCTGGAATTTTTTTACTATGACGGTTGCTTTACTGTCCTAGTTACTATGAAGGCGCTTCCTTTCGTAAGGGGATGCCTTTGCAACTGCTTGATAGAAAGAAGTGAAATTTTCCACTTGAACATTCCGTATAACTAGTACAAGGGCTCGCTGACAGAATATTATTAACTTTTACTAGGCACAGAAACTACAACACACAAAGCTGAAAATAACTGAATCCTGGCACTTTTGTTTATTGCCTTGTTGTATTGTTAATATAGGAATCCGAGGCGTTATCTTTTAACAAAGCTATTGACGAATTCAGATACAATCCCTAGCAATAGGAAAGAACGATTACTTCAGTTTAGCTGGACAATATCCGGTTAGATCGTGAACGTTGTTGATCGTACTAAAAAATAGTGTTCTCTCCATAAAAATGCATTCGCAGGTTGTCGCGAGATGACCTTACGGCTAACAAAAATTGCCCTATACAAATCTGAGGACGATGCAGCTGCGCGTGCAAAGAACAATGGTCTCTTGTAGCCAACAAACCATTTCCTTATTCTGACTTAGACGATTTACGAGCGCCTTTCTTTAGAATCAGCCTTCGCTTTGTAGTCCGATCGCCTTTAGAGTTGAAAGGGTCTTCGTGATTGGTAACAGAACAAATTCGTTTATCTTGGTCCGACGCTATGTCTTGCACCGGCTGTACTGTCTTCTTCTTCGCTTGTATCGCCTTAGGTACGCGGATTTGTGTTGACTGTGCATCTTGTTCCGACTCCTTCTGTGCGATGTACTTTTCGCAGGGGTAAGCCATCTCCGTTTTTAGGTACCTCGCTAATAGTGGAACAACCTGATGGATATACATATATTCCGAGCTTGCCGTATCTCGATTCCGTACTTTGACAACGCTGGTCTCAGGTGTGTCTTCATCTATGTAAACATTGAAGTACACACCTAGAAAATCCTCATCTTGGAACGCTTGCGGCGTGACGGCTGGGGTAACACTGACCGTTGGCAAGCACCGAACATTCGATTTTTTCAAATTTGTTAGGATCTCATCTGCACGAGGTCTGAGTTTCTCTGATGCCACTGTAACCGATACTTGGTACGGGACAAGCTGATAGTGCAATCGAAAACATGGAGTATCCTTAATAGTTTCACAACGAGCGTCATCCAGCAAACATCGGACAGCCTCACCGAGTTCAATATGACTACTTATGACCGTTGTTGAACCTTGTTTTTTTCTAATTAGGGTCTCGACTATGTTATCTCGCTTGTAGACAATTTGACTGTGGTCGATGTCAACTCGAACATCTTCGAATCTCGAACAGTTATGGCTAAATCGTTTCCACCAGAGTCGCCTTTCGCGGGTCCAAAAATCAAACCAACGAAAGTCGTCTTGTACAGCGATAAACGTGTGTGTTAGTCGATCCGCTTCAGGAGTGGCTACTCCGATGGTGGCGAAGGTTTTGTCCTTAAAAATGGCCTGAACGAGGTCCTGTCCACCACAAACGTTAGTGCTGTTAGGACAGCATAGTAGAGACCTAAGCCATAACGAAGTAATGTTATGTCGGAGGGAAGTAGGCAGTCCGAAACGAAGGATACCTGCCATTGGCGTGTTCAGTCTTCGCCTGAAAATAAACCAGCAACACAAGGAGTCTAGTTAGCTGTTGAGACGTAGTCTGAAAAGAGTACTGGACTAGGCTGGGCTCATTAAAGTCGACCCAATTACATAATCTTACCTAGCAATAATAACAAAAATAGAGATACAATCACGACAACAATAACGAGGCTAGAATGTCTTTTCCATTGTTGACGCTTACTAAAAGCAAAGAATCTAGTGTGAAACCGTTTTGTTCAAACGAATCGTAGATCCTGCATAAAAGACGACCAGCAGCAAATCTATATGTCGCCGTACGAATGTTGGGCCGATAACAACATTACCAAAGAGCCACAAACGGCATCACTTCACTGGGATCTAGTCTTCAACGAGCCGTTAGATTGTTTTCGACGTTCTTGAAAAGACTAGCTGAAACTGCAATTCCTGCAAGTTTTAGACGGGACGACTCCTGGCCCAGCAGTACAAATGCCGTCATCAACATCATCGACAGCTGTGGCGGTAGTTCATATCCACCCAACAGCCTATTGCAGTTGATATTGGCCAAATGGGCACCGTTACATTTATTATAGGGTGACCACAGTGCGCCTGGACATCGTAATGCTTATACATCCATCGATGGCGTCTTGACCTACAGACTTACTCATATCTTTCTCTAACTTTCACCCTTCGTCTTGCCATTAAAATAGCGTTTCATCGCCTGAACGACAAATATTAGACGAATCTACATACGGCTAATCACGTACGTCGCGACAATTACTTGACAGTCTATAATATAGCAAATAGGCAAACGATGCTACTAGGTGTGCAATGTTGACTGGCCATCGGAACAACCGAAACGTAACACAGTACGTATAGTAGAGGACGGTGAACACGACGACCGCGTCGTTGTACAACTGTATACTCGTAGGACATGCATTGGTTCATGAATGTTCTGCACTGACTGCAGTCCTTTCTCAGTGTCCCTAAAGAGAAGGACAAAAACAAGACGGTGGTAGTTCGAAGGCGAAAGACGTCTTGGTTATGCCGCGTCGATACGTCTTAATCCGCTGTCTACTGCAAAATTTTGTTGTAGGTTGCCCTGTACCCATTCTGGGCTGTGTATCGGTAATATGTAGCGACCGCGTGTGACTCTAGAAGCCAAGGCAGTTTCGCGCGGATTTTTCTTGCGTTAAGGAAAGATGGGTTAGACCACCTATTTGCGGCCAGCTGAAACCGTAGTAAACTATATAGTAGTTGTAGTACACAAAGGGGACCGCCAACTGATAAAGCTACGGGAGCAGGCGAGTGCTAACTACACCTTTGAGTCCACGATGGATTTTGCCTCGAAGAGGCATTCATCTGGCTGACAAACCTGTTCGAAAAAGCGTTGATTGGAATACTAAAATGTAGAGGTTGACTGTAGCTACTATTGCAACGCCGATGGCAATTTATATAGCGGCAATATCTACCAAGAAACGACTCTTGACAAAAGAAGAACCATAAAGCAAAGCGAAATAAATAGACGAAGATTACAACCGCCGCTGTTGCGGTCACTTCAAACTAACGCCAACCCCTATCACTGTGTCTATGACGAGGACTACACAAGCATATATCCTTCAGTTGCAAGATAGTTTCGGAAGTCGTGCCATAGCCGTTCGTTGGGAAAATCTTTTTCTCCTCTCGTCGATCATCCTGGTCTGCTCTTAAACCTAGCTCGGATTCGACACCTGCCAATGGTGGGAAACAAGAATGAATCCAATATCATCCATATATGAAAGGTCGGGCAGAGGGTATACTAGAAAGTAACACATCTTTAGCATATGCTAATTACCCACTACGATCAACTGCATTCAGGGTTGGTACGTCTTGTACATAATTACTGCCCAGCTCACTTAATCACTAAAATTTGCTAGGGAGCAATGCATGGGTTATTCAACCACGACAATGCGATTTGGATAGTGCCTTTTCCGATGCCTGCTAGGACTATTTGAAGCGTGAGCAGCGAGAATGGTAACAGCGTATTTACTAGAATTGAACGTACATTGGAAGAAGTAGACATTTATGAATACCGCAAAGTCAGTCTTCGAGAAAACACCTTGACGCTCGGTTAGCATAGCTACATTCGTGCACGTCAGGCAGCCTGAACTTTCCGGCCTTAGCGAACCAACGTTTGATCTGGTGACATTTAATTGCTTGCGGTTCATAGGTTGGCTAGAAATGAACTTATCTTTCAATGACAAGGTCCGCAAGGCTACACAAAAATGAATATGATTAATCCCTCTCTCTAGCGATAGCATCGTTGGCGAATCGTCGAGGTTGTAGTCTAGGTTCAAATCCGAGCGTAAACAGACAGACAGGCGGATTTCGTTACGTGCTGACGGGACGGCAAAAGCCGTTACTGGACTTAAAACTCGAAATATAGAAGACAAAGGGCATACATAGGCTGATGCTTAGTTTCGTTCGATGCTAGTTCTGCTACGTTGTCTATTTTTTTCAACTCTTCAAGCGCTTCTGCTAACAGTCGAAATGACGCGAAGTAATCCAAAGGAAGTGCAGATTTGGTTAGGTGTAAAGCTGCATGACGTATGCCCGGGGCAAATCATGAAAGAGAATAGGAATGAAATAACGATAATTGACGGGTGAGCTTTTGAATCTTTGATGGCTGACAATAGCTTATTATTATTTGAAGTGAGGTTGTTCTGTATAGCTACAGAAGGGTAGGAACATTAAGGAACGGCCACGATATAGTCCTGCCGCGAAAATAGTTGAATAGAGACATGCTATCCTGTGGGAACCGTGTCATGCTGTGGAAGTTATTTGGTCGTAGGTTACTGGATGAAGCGCTATTTGCGTCGATATAGGCAATATTTAGAAAAGAAATAATAACATTAAATTCAAAAACTGACTGCGTATATGACCAATGACGTTTATAAGACTATAAAATGTATATTCAATATGTAACACTTCGAGTCCTCGACAGGTGCTATCGCGTCGCGATAGATAACATTTTGTCAACATATCCACCTCTACATAACAACTGCAGCTCACTAGAAATGTTACCACTGTATCTATATGGATATTGTTGTGACGCCTCATCCCACATAAAATCCTCCCTACCCAACAACAACAACAACAACAACAGTGTGAAATTTAGTCCAAGCGCGCACCTATCCTGTCATAGCAGACAGATCTGGTGAAGACGTCCGTATCGCCAGCGACGCTTCAAGGCAATGCAAGAAGAGGAACTGGAATGATGTGAGGCGAGTCACACTTCGCTATTTTAGGTTTCACCGCGCCTTTAAACGGCTCCACCGATGATCCGCCGTGAGAAAGCCACGGTGAAAATCGAACGGAGAATCGTAACGAACAAAGGCAAACGTCTTCACCATCAACAACAATAACAGTGTCGACCACAGGCAACTTCACCCGTTGCTGGATGGAAAAGTTCATGCAACTAACATGCGCCTGATGCCTTTCAACCATTAGGAGGACAGCGGTGGTTTGCGACAGAAGAGCACACAGTGCAACTTATATTAGCTGGAGTAAGCAATTGGGGCAGACGGATTAGGCCGTGGTCCTTGTTCCGCCATCGTACTCGTCCATACTCACTTATGTGCAACAGGTTGTCCCATCGGTGAGTATGGTTGGGCTTTCTACCAATGCAGCGCAAAGTCAGGAGGAGTAATCAAGCATCTGTTTCACGGACTACATTGGCTGCTAATACCCCCTGTAAAGACATAGCAGCTCCACGGAGAGCGTAGGCTTAGTAAAAATCGCCACGTCCCAACAGTAGTCAACAGGGGCAGGCCCTCTAGGTTCGGGAGCTCCCACTCTGTTTGGATCCTGGGTTCAGCTCAGCTCTCTAACTACATGTCTGCTAGGCAGCAAACTGTGAACCGGAGTAGCGGCAGTTGCCGACCAGGCGAAAAACGTAGCTTCTGGACACACGGTACAATGACGATGCGCGCTGCAAAGTCGGATGAGACAGAAGCTGCGCTCATAGCGGCAGGAACATTCCCCGTGAACGGACAACCAGTCATGTCGACCGCCAGGAAGTGCGAATCAGCCTGCGCGAAGGAAAGTGTGCAGTGAGCAACAGCCTCTTACAAGTGGAGAGGGCGCGATTTCGACCCTCTCCGAAAGATGTCGCCTCGGTCGTGGCCGTAAACATCAAGCACTTAGTCGATTTTCATTCCCACTGAAAACCGGGATCAAGCAACATGTCTCTATAAGATAAAAAAAACCAAGCACCAAATACCAACCTCTATCTTTAAAGTATACCATCAATGACAATAAGGCAAGTTTGTCGCAGAGAAATAAGCAGTAGGGTCTCATCGTTCGATTCAAATCTATCACACAAGCTGGTTAATTACACAGCCCAAAAAGATATAGGGCGGGCAATCACAGAGGTGACGGGCGAAATTGCCTACCGTGACTCCACCAATATCTACCAAAGTTTATACTAGACCTGTGGGAGGTTGCAATAGCCATCTCTGTCAGGGAGCCTTAGCACAGCCGAGAATTTTAGCGGCCTGGTGCAGTGTGTGTTTAATTTTAAGTGTTGCAGGCGTTGGCGTTCGTCGCGCATGTGAAAAGTGTGTTCAGCAATTCGAAATTATTCGAAGAAGTTCATCAAGAATCTGTGTCGTGCCGTTGTATCTTCAATTTGTCTGAGATAGTTAAAGTGACAGTTACTTTGAAGCACAACAGAAAATACGAAGCCGCTGTCACGAAGTGCGCTGTTATCTACGCAATGACGATGGATCTTATATGCACAGAAAAAGCAATTAGCGAAGTTCACTACCAGTCAGTTCACGATCGCCTCGCATTACGAGATACTGCCTTGTTCGACGAAAGTTCAAGAGTGTTAAGGAACTTGCTAGAGCTCGAGGAACACCAAAAGAACCATTCCGTTGATGCCAGACTTTTCCAGCGGGTTCAGACTGATCTGCAGCCAAACATGCGACGAATCGTTGCCAACTGGATGCTCGAGGTGAGTTAAAATCTGGTCTGACCAGGCATTTCCCACCCAGGCTGTGTACTATTGTATTTGCCATTTATTCCATGTAACAAACGTGTTTAGGACGTCTGTTGTAGCATCTCTCAAAGGAAAATACATAGAGAGCATTTTGAATGTTGTTTATGAATGACTTAATGGTGTGATTGCTTCGCCATTACATTTTATCATACGCTCTCGTAACGGGGAATGGTCGTTTTATTGAGGCTGTATGATTTTAAACCCATTTCTCGTATGTTACATTTACTTCTTTGCTAGTAAAAAACAGTACGCAATCAAACAATAAGTTCAATGATTAATTTCGTAGAGGATATATATATATCTATATATATATATATATAAGCGTACATATCTTGAACATGCTACATTTTTTCCGAGCCACAAACGACCTAAACTGAAAAGATCTAAATAAGGCCAACTCGAAGCGATCTCACCGCAGAGGTACGGGCTTCAACACGTTCTAATGTCCACTGTATTCACCTAAAAGAATACTGGATACCGGCTAGCCATCAGTACGCGTGCAACACATAGACACAGGGGCACACACACATATACACCCACAAGAACGACTTTGTTCCTATTGTATTATCCTTCCTAGTATCAGCTACCCTGACACAAACATGCGAACCATAAGATGACTTCGTCACTACCCCCGAGATACCGCAATTCTAAACTTGTACCCTCGCTATACTGGATGTTGCTGTTATTCAGGCAGGCACTGTTTGAGGGAGCAGCCCACTAAACAGATGGGCCCAGCGGGTATACCACGCATCGACATCTACCCATTCACTCGACTTCGTCTTCACATGTGGCATGTAACACATGTACTATCAGTATCACGCTCCATTTATCGAGTTGTACTATACACAGGATAACGTGACTGCGTAGTCTAAAGTACGGACATTTTAATTCGTCAATAATGTCATGTATGCATGTTTCAATAACATGATATCTGCGCTTTGCCATGACGCGGCGCCTGAAATCTCTCTCTCTCTCTCGCATAGACGAGGAATCATCACTTCATTCTATGATCTGGCCATGTTTCTCAGAGCGACTCCGCTTGACTTGGCCGCCATTAAGTAAATGGACGAAACGTGTGTAGAAAAAGTCTAATAATAGTTGTTACTACTGGATTTAACTGCAACTCCAGCCAACCACGAAGCTTCGGCGTAATAAGCAGCGCTTGACTAGTCGATCTTGGCTGAACCCGAATCAGACAGATGGATCGTAGCCATGCCTGGGAATGACCATTAGGGCCCCTGCTCAGTGTCACTGCATACGTAGTATACACATATATCTTTCCATCCTAACGACCTATGAGAAAAGATGGCAATTCAGTGTTCACGGATCGTATTCTCTGTTCCACGAAGTGATAACAATTTTGCGCGCTAAATTAATGTCTTTAGTAGCAGCAGCGTCGCCGTAATTGTTGCACTGTGGCACGCGCCATGATAGCTACGTTTCGCCATGATTCCTACGCCAGAATCGAGGTTATACCTAGAGAGCCGCTAAATACCGTTATCGTTGTTTCAATCAGCGTCAGCACTCGGAATAGAAAACTACTTTCATATACTTAGTTTAATCAGTTCGATTCAGGTCTTTAGCGTTCGTCTACTGATGAGTCGTACTAGTTATAGAACATTATTGAATAAGCTAATTGTGCTATACAATGTCACTAGTATATTATAAGCCTACTGTGCTTTTGACGTCAACTTAACTGTATTACTTGCTACGGTATTCAGTGTTTTTGCAGGCCTTGAGATGCCTAATCGAGCAGTTGTACGTACTTGTTTATAAATGCCCCTGAGTCCCTAGCATACACAATCATCCTTTGTTGCTTAAATTATATCGTAACTTTTTTTTATTGACGCTGCTCGTTAATTTCGTTTATCCTATGCGTCGACGTGTGACGTATCAGCACATCGATCTATCGAGTCACAGAGTCGCTTTCTCATCTAAAAGGGCCTTGACGAAAGGCAGGTTCTTCGTGGACCTCTGCCTTTGTCCGGTGTCGTCTCATATTAGTTGGCTTAGCTGAGCTAGCTCACTAGCAGTGCCATCCTGCTCGGCGCCTGTCGTCAGGACTCTAGCGCTTTCTCGAGTCGGCGTCTTCGTCCACGATCCCCCGGCCGCCGCTGCTAGCGCCAACGCCTTCGCTACCGAGACTGTGGCCGTCGCCATTCGCACATCTCCAATTTTGATATGTTAGCCCATCGAAGGCACCACGCTTGCCATTCGTTCACCTATATATGGTAGTTAAAAGCGATGAGGATATGGAAGACGCATTGTCGTATAATGACGGCGACATTTTTGGCTCAGGAAGTCTCGTGTCATCGCCAAGGCTTTCTAGCACGACGATCTCGGCTTTTTGTTGTTATGGCTCCTGACGAACAATAGCAGCTATCAGCAGTTTCTTGGTTGGCTTGATATAATCAACAAGTTATTTGTTGGATTTCATGTTTCCGCTCTTAATAGCAGCACCAATAGAGTCGGCTACGGCAGCAGCAGTGACGATGGTGAAGAGTCATCACCGCTGGCGCGTCTCCTGTAAGCTCGACGCGTTCGTGTCTAGCTGCGTTGCTTGGTCGAGGATTACTAGACATTATCGACTGCAGCGGCATCCTTGAGGGGGTAGATGTCACTGTTTCCCCACCTGTATTCGTCCCTGCGTGTTATGTCTGCTTGAAACATATGTACAACATGGCTTGATGCCCTTTTGCTTAACAATGAATGGGTACAGAACACGCCGTTTTGTTGAGTATCTATTTTGTCTAGCCATGGACAATGCCTATCGGGCATCATGTACACACACACGCACACTATAGATACGTACTAGCTGTTTGAATCAATTTGGAGCGAAAGTTTGCAGCCCAATCTGACTACCTGCCAATTTAAGAGTTCTTACCCTTAGAAACAATGATAATGGAATATCTACGGCAGCGTGGTCTCTTTAACCCATCAAGATTTGCCAGTCTGATTTGGAGTTTAGTCTTTCCATGCTTCTCGGTCGGTCCCTAGTAAGGCTTGTTCCCTGTCGTCGGTCATCGTCCTTATCAGTGTGTCCTTCGTTTGCTCCTGTACATACGCGAGCAGACTATTGGATTTGTTTAGAATTTGTTTTCTGTTCAGCGCGTATCTTGTTTGGTAGCCGTTTCTTCTCCTTACGATCGTATTCTGTTCAATATAATACAATAGAAAAGATAGTACAAATCAAAATAACTATTCGGAAGCCTTTTCAGCTATTTCCTAGTTACCGCTAGACCTTTAACCAGGTGGCAACATATTTACCTACTGGCCTTTCTAGAATTTTTCAAATCCATATAATTAGGTAAGAAGGCACTAGATGGCGCGATGTCCACGTTAGACCATGGTTGCAGCTACAACCGCAAGCGGTCGGTAAATATGTCGAACCCAGTCTATGTCTGCTTATCTCATTGGTTGCGAACAGCATCATGATATCGGCAGCAGCTGCAGAGCTACTGCTGTTAAGCAGGGACGGCGCGCGCAGACGAGCCGAGGCGAACGAAGTGTACTTATCCAGCACCAGCACACTTAGTTTAACATACGACCAGGCACACGGATCAGTAGACACACGGACTTTTACCCAGGCAAATGCATAATGCGCTGGAATGCGGTGATGACGTAATGATCATTTTCGTGGTGCTGATGACGGCGGCTCTGTTGCCTAGTGGCAATCGCTGTCCGTCGTGGTCCCTGAATGGTCGACCCGGCCTGTCCCCCTGTCCCGTCCAGTTCCTCAGCCATCGGCACCCCGTTGCTGGCTTAGGTCCGGGACTAACAACATGGCAATACAAGGCGGCAGCAGACACGAAGGGTCCGCCCCTTCGCCGACGCAAAGCCCTCCCCCGGTTCCCGTGCGCAGCTTCGCGCCAAAATCCGCTTTGCGTCAGCCATCACGGCTAGTTTGCGCGCGCCGCTACGGCGTTTCGCGCGGGAAGCGGGTTGCAGTGGCTGTTGACGATCGCGGTGGCGGCGGCGGCGGTGGCGGACGCTGCCAGCAGAACCAACAGCTACAAACATCGCGTCCATACGACGCTAGCAGCAGCGAACGTCTTGCGTTGGTTATTGCGTTATTAATAGCAAACGAAACGTCTGCAAACGCATGAGGTTCAGCGGCCGGCAGCACGTAAATCGGCATCGTCAACGTTGTCGTACGCGGCGGTAACGGCGGGTGCAGTCTGGTGCTGGGGCGTCCGTCCACCGCTCCGCTGGAGTTTGTATGCCCTTCGGGCGTCCGCGGTCGGCTGGCGGGATGGCCATAGACACTGCCGTCATGGTTCCAGCGACTGCTCCCATTGCTGCTTCCAACTAGTTCTGTCCCACGCATAAGGAGGCCGCCCGTTCGTCCGCCTGCTTGCCCGCCGCGGCCGCCGCCGCCGATAACGCCTATTAGGCCGACCCAGATGCCTTAGCCGCGCCGGCGGTTCATTAGGAAATAACGTCTCTAAACAGAAAGTGCCATAGCAACAACAAGCATTCGGCTATTCGGCCTGCATACGGTCACTGGCATATCAAACGAAAGCCAGACACACATACACACATCGACTTGGAGAGTGGGCGCGTCCGCACATGCAAACATCAGCAACTACAGACGCCTATGATATTGCAAGTATGGCGCTGTCCTGAACGATACGAAAACAGGCGACAAATAGCAAAAGAAAACAGCAGGAAGCAATCTGTTCGCGGTAGGCCAATCTCACACAGCAGCGTGCTGGCATTTCTGTCGGGCACCGTAAACTATCCTACTGTAGCCATTTCTATATATCATACAGTGCATAAACACTGTTATAGAAACGGTACATGTAACGCATAGAACCGGATAGACCAATGTTGTGATTGGGGCAAAGCATTGTTTCCCGCTGCTAGTATGGGATGATGAAACATCAAAGCCTAGGCTTCAAGGATGATGTGATCTTAGTGGAATCGTGATAGAAAAAAGAAGGTGATTGTTTCGTCTTGAATAACACTTCAAACGAAATAACGGGTCACTCAACACGCTGGTCGTAGTTTCTCGTCTGTACATTGGTAGATCGTATCGATTCTGCTATTCCATAGTTCAACAGAATCAGGCGCTCTCATACAGACAATATGTATGTGTGTGTGTGTGTGTGTGTGTGTGTGTGCGTGTCACCTATAGAAACATAAGCATCTTCTTCTATCATAAAAGATAGCAACGCAACGCTCAAATAGCGCGTATCCAATGCAATCATCAATGTCGGCTGGTAAAAGTGCTACTTGGCCAAAAGCTTTCCGTAACGTTTTACAACGGTGGTTCTCGACGATATTACGAAACAAAATAATCGTTGGCGTCCCGTTCATACATTCCGAAAATACGTGAATGGGGGACATTTAATTTTTAAATGCTCGCCAGACATTTAAATCCCCGGCAACGTCGGACGTCCGTTGAGAATCGCGCTTCCAAAAATCGACTTTTTTCCCCATCGACATATTTGAATGGCGACCTCGGCTTCGGGATCGTCACCGAAAGAAACGGTTATCTTCCAAAGCTTCGAACTAATTTCCATCTGGAACATGTTGAAATCATCGTGTAAAATTTCACCGTTTAGGTACGCCGTATCAACGCGATCTCAAGGGTTTCCGCCCTTTGTACAGCTTTTTACTATTACATAGGTTCTAAGCCGATTGATTGCATCTCTGCAATGAAACATCCTATGCATTAAGCTAGTAAAGGGCTGCATTTTGAATTTGTTTCAAAAAGACCGTTTAATGATTGGCGATCGTTCTTGTTAACCGGTTTTTCTTTTATATTAGTGACGACCTTGGCGGGCAGCACTGAAAACACGATATCGACTAGCCATTAGGCAGTGCGCGGATATCTACATTCACTATTAATCACAATCTTTACTAAGCATAAACACCAACTTTACGGATGGATTCACGTTTTGATGTTCTTTCCTTCCTGCAGGTGTCTGATACTGAACTATGCCGAGCTGAGGTGTTCCCACACGCAATGCACCTGCTCGATCGGTTCTTGAGCAAGAAGATGGTACAAAAGAATCACCTACAACTTCTCGGCACGGTCTGTCTTCTTCTCGCGTCCAAGATGCGTCTCACGCGACCATTGACCGTGGAGAAGTTGCGCATGTACACCGATTACAGTGTTAATTGCCAGGAGATCCTGGTGAGTACCTTTTGTGTGTATTTTGTTCACGGGAACAGCGCAAGATACGAAAACGCTATAAAGGATTGTTGAAAAAAAACATAGTGCGTTGTTAGGTCTTTAGTCTAGTCCGTTTACGGTTAGTGGCACGACGAATTATACTCGATCGATAGATCCTAGTAGGATGGTCTAACCCGTACACCAAACGCACGTGGGTTAGCATTATTGAACCGTTTGGGTCGTGTTTCTTGGCTGGGCCGCTGTTTTTGGCTCCGCACCAGTGACCAGCCACCATAGACCGCACTCAAGAGCATGGCCCAACGATTGGCGTCAAGATGCGACAAGCATATTGTCGAATGTGGCCACGTTGCCTATGAGAATATTGTAACCTAAGCTGATTACACATATGCGTACGATATCTGGGGTGCGTTCGGTTTCCTTGTAAAGGTCCTTGTATCTACCACACAATTTGATTGAACATAGAAGCGCAACACGAACGTTTTTTTTCCAATAAATCTATTAAATAATAAGAGGCGTAATTTTCATAATAATGTCTTATGCCATAATAATGTTTATTGAACAGTAATAACGTACCAAGTTAGAGCGGAGATATGTGTGCATCCGGCATGTCGACGGCGCCTGCATAGGCTCGAGCCATTGCTACCGCTGCGCCCAAGTTCGTTGCTAACTCGATTATATTGGTACCGCAACAGTCAATTGGCAAACAGACGATTCGCGAGTTATTATCTCTCGCAGGTAGAATATAACAGGGGCAAGAAAGATCGTCAGCAGATGGACAATGCAGCAAAGGGGTGTGGACTGTCTTTAAACTACTGCATATCTACCGTACCCTGCTTTATCAAGCATTAGACGGCATCTACCATCTGTAATGTTCGGCGAATTTCCATCCGCCAACCTGTTCCACGATCACTCAGTTAAGTCCGCTCTGTATATATTCATAGACTGGTTTCTGCGATCAGGGTGCCCGTGCAACTTGTTCCTGTATTGCGCGAGGAAAGTTCCGACGAGTTTTATCTCGTCAAGTTCGAGCCTTACACAAGTCATGCGACAGGCGGACTGGCAGTGGCCGTACACCCTACCTGGATCACGATCACCCCGCTTGCACGCCGGCGCATGCCTCGTGCTAAATCGCTGTAGAGCTTCGTTACAAGCAACTCTATGCAACCCGTTTGCATTCCTAGCTGGCCGAACAAACCGATGGATGGATGGATGGATGGATGGCCAAACAAGATTTTTTGCCTGGAGGGGCCCTGTTCACGGCTGCTAGGGCGAGCTCCTACGACCGGGTGAAAATGTGATTGGAACAATAAAAACTGTATAAACATGCGCCGCACTCTAGTTCGCTAAGCTATGGAATGGTGTATCTATGCGACGAGTGAGCGCGTGTATTGCGATGACATGACAGGCGATATGGATAGCCAGCTCAATGCTTCCAGGATGCATGTCGAATACACTAACAACAGCGACCCTAGTAGTAATGGCACTGGCCTGCTGGCACCACATACGATGATCCTGTAGCCAACAGTTTGATGGGTAACGATGGCGATAGTGTAGTCCATAAAAATGTCGATCCTCAGGACCCATGGACTTTGTTTGTGCCGGGTCGCTTGGGTGTGTGCCGTGCGTGTATGCGACGAGAATATTCGCTCGCTGAGAGGATTACGACAGGAGGGCCTATATGCAGGCCTATATTGCAGAGGAATATGGTGGAATTGGCACGGCCTGCGCGAACATTACCTATAACACAGAGCCGGCACTAAACAAAATATTGGTCGTATTGCTCGTCCTGATAGTGACGATGATGATTATATGTGAACTAGCTTCTTATTGTGAACAGATGCTACACCGCTCAGCCCGATGAAAGCTTTTCAAGTTTTAAAGCATTTGAAAGTAAGAGTAAAAGTCGAAATAATTTGTTGGGTTTTCTTGCACTAGTTCTGTCCACGAACACGATATGAATTTGGACAGAGGAAACCCTTATAGGGTAACGCTTATAGGGTCGCTCAGTACGCTCGTTGCAACAGCACACAATCATCTGGAGCGCATCTGAAAACACACTCGACAATTCTATGTCAGTTTGAATAGATCGTCCGATCGGCATGTATAATGATGGCTTCTATAGGGTAGATAGATGAAGTGTCATTTACTGGGGTGTTAGATATGAGAGCGACCGTGGCGACGGACGGACAGAAAGCCAACGAAAAGTATCTATGGTATGGCGCCAAAAACCAAGTAAAACTTAGCTATTCCGCCAATGCCAAACGAAGCATAAAGTTGCAGCGGTTTTTTCTATTCCTTGCTACCTAAATGCCACTGGATGCTGGTGAATACTGAATATTTGTCTGTGTGTGCTCCCCGTGAACGCGCCACGAGCATATCATGTTGTGCGAACCAAGGAACCCACTGCACAGACCTTATCCAGCTCAGCTTTACTTCTAGGCACGTCGGCTTTAGGTGTCACTGATAAAGTCAGAGGAAACAAGTAGCACCCGGTAGGCCGCAGGGGGCTTAGCCTGTATACGTATGCATATATATGCGAACTATCATGCATCGTCAAAGGTCTTCTGTTGGTAGGCTCATTGGCCTTACAATAAGGTAAACTACGAACGACGTGGGCGCCACCGGTCTCGTCTTCGTTGGGGAACGACGCATTCAAACGATGAACAAGCGAGGGACGGCGACATTTGGTCGCTAGATGGGACCGGTGCTTGAGAGCCATCCCGCCGTTTCATAAGCTAGAGCTAAACGCGCCAAACGATCCCACGGCACGGCAAAACCATTATAGCCACTGTGGGCGACGCTGGGTGAGAGATCCAGCCCGTGTGCGGCGATCCAGTACACAAACGAACAGGCACCAGTGGTGCCATCATCGTGCAGGACTGTTCAGTAAACAAGCCTGGCGTAGCAGCACTGTCAGGGTTCGTCGTGCTTTCTTGGACCTACCTGTTGCTCAGCGCTAGTGGATGAGGATGGAGCAGTTTGTCCTAACCGAGCCTGACGCTATCCTCGCTGCTGTTGGCGACGGTGGATGTGTGCATCCGGCGTAACGGGACAGGTGCACGCTGGGCGTCCATTTGTGGCTGTGTACGGCGCTTCTCTTGAACGGCCGCTTATGGTTTCGTCGACTCGATAACGAACGTGGACTCGTAATCTGCAGAGGGAGCGGGCAGCCAATACTGAGGAAATCATGTCGACACATAAGCTATGCAATTGTTGGAGCTGGCGACCGTTTGCATTCTACGTCATGTTGATCATCTTTTACTGAGTGGTTCCGTTTTCGTCGGACTCGAAAGGAAGAATATTCGACGAGGTAAATTCACGAAACGTTTGCGGTACCAATTTATTGAAGATTTGTGAAAAACTTAGTTAGCCTTTGAGCTGAAGAATTACTTTGCTTTTTTTCTTCATTGTTTCTACCGAACGCATCTTCACGTTAAGCATCGCCTAAAGCCATCCCACCGTCTACTAAGATCCAATACGAATGCTGATACATGCTTATATATCAGTACGTGGGAAAGCTAGGTAATTTTTGCCTATTGCCTTGCTTTTCTAGCCTTTCGTTGGAAAATTATAATTGGCCTTTGAGCCTGTTACCTTTACACAGGCATTTGTCAAGTGGTACAAAGTAGTATTTTGTAATTTTTTTTTTTGTAGCTCTTTTGAAATCGGTAAACAGATATCGGTGTCGCAGGTGTTCATATTTTCAGCATCCGATATAATAATTTTTGAAGTTTGAATATCGAGATTGAATTTGTTGATTTGAAGGAAACGTACGAAAGGCTCTACAATACTAGTTAAAACGTTGTCATTAGCAAGCAAGACATTTGTAAAAGCGAAGTAATAAGCAATAACGGCCACTACTTTGTTACCAACTTGGTAGAAAGTAAGGTAAGGCGTAGCGACCTTCCTCGATGACGGCCTCGTTCAGTCCATCTACCTCCCGCACCGAGTGGGTCTACAACTTCGAATTCGTCGTTCGCCGCTAGAGCGCGTTTGAATTGGTTTAAATCGGATTGAATGGATAAACCAAGACCGGCGTACGGACGTCACGCAGAAACGAACAGCAAAACACCTGTCTCTTGTTCTAGTCGTCAATCGACATGCTGCCGCGCGACGATCTCGCCTGTCTGTTCCGCTGCCCGGATATCTGCCAATATACTTTTACCTCCTCATCTCGATAGACGAAAGCCGCTACAGGCTCAAGTTATAAATAAGCCACAGGACCCAATCGCTGACGTGGCTGTGACGATGTCTGCATCAACGGCACCGCCGGCAGTAGCTTCATCCTCGATTCAACGAAATCGAATATCCACAAAGTTGAGCCCAAGTTCAATTGAGTTTGCTGAAAACAACGTTCGCCAAAGTAACAATAGCGGCAACGGCATCACATCAGGCCCTTAGCGAGCGCGTCTAGCTAGGAAGGCGCGTCGTCAGTTCTACTACCGCCACAGATCGACTACGGCGCCGGCAGCCGCTAACGCAGCGTTTTCTTTTCTCTTTTTTGGTCATCCGTTTCAGTAGCGGCAACAGCCGACGCATACCATCAAATGTGTCAAATCATGCAGAACTCGTGCGGTCACTGTCGGTCGAAAAACACCGGCCTTTTTCTACCACTCGTCGTCCTCTTAACTTTGTTCGGACACCGAGAGAGATTAGCCCGTTCCAGCCAGGACGCTCCCAGTTTTCGTCTTGCCCAGACCAAGTTGCGAATTGTTATCTTTGTCCTAAATGTCGGTGGCGGTCGCGACGGCGGCGGCCATCAACTCAAAACTGTTAAACCCGATCAACGAAAACACCAGTGAAGTGGTCGCTGGTATCCAATGGCCAGTATTCTCTATGTGCCTCTTTATTTTCCCTACTCGTTTTATTGCTCCACACTTTTTTCGCTGATTCTTCTTCTAACTGATCAGACCAGCCCGCTCATATTAAACCCGGCAATCGTGAGCAATAATATGTGTATCTCTTTGTTTTTCCCCGGCCTCCTCGATGGCTCTGAGGCGCGCGAATTTGCTTTACTAAATACCCGCCAAGCCGTTTGCACAAATGCATTATTGTACTCTATTGAGCTATTACTTACGTCTAAACGCGCTCACTACCCGTTTTACTCTAGTTCTTGTCCGTGGCCGCGGAATCTCAATGAACGAGTGGGCACTCGTTGGCAGGTTTGCAGCCGCTGAAAGTCCTATGTGCAGTTAGGCGCCAACCGAAACAGAAATCGAACGAATAACATCGGCGGCAAAGATCCACCGAGAAAAACAAATCCACAAAAGAGAAATAGAGAAAATGAATGAGCGAAAAATGCTTGAGGGACAGATAGATGACGAGATACTCAAGAGACGATTAAGTGTGGTCGTGCCCCCGACGCGCTTGAGCAGAGCGCGCACCGGAGACGACAGTAGATAGCACAATATAGGCCGATCCGAAACCTACAAACAAGCGAACATACATGGACGTCAGATAGTGATTGTCGGGCCTATAAGACCCGCCTACTTGTCTTGTCTGTGACTAGAATTGTGCGTATCGTGATATTATTAGTAATAACATAGTCCGATTAACGCCACGTGGGGCATAAGGCCTATGCATAGGCCATTCTCATCTGATGCGTTCCGTAAGCCTTTCGAGCTTCTGTCAGATCCTCTTTCAATTTCTGTAGAATAAGGTAATGGCTTGAGTATCTTTGTCGTGACAGCGCTGCCGTTCTGATGGGCAACACTATTATGAAACGCGGATCCGCTGACCGCATGGGAACAATCGTTTTACTATATTTTCAATTGCGACAGTCGGATTATGACGATCCGGTTACCGTAGTGCCTGATACGATCGTTGATGTCGGCAATGCATTCATATAGGAGTTATCGATTGGTTGTTTAGCTAGATCAATTACGTTCCACTAAGGCTTGGCAAATCGGCACCACTATCTCGCCTTCTTCTTTTGCCTGAATTGAATTGTTCTCCTGCTCTGGCCACAGCTCGAACACTGACATGAAGGACATTAGATGTCAAGTTGTTACGCAGCTATTGTCCATAAGGAATATAACAGCGTAGTATTGTTTTGTTGAGTTTTTTCCTTTTTTTTTTCTTCATTTGGAGACTTTTTATTCCATTAACTTAGCAAACGTTTCTTTTCGCACTTGTAGGTCCCCCACAGAGACTGCGATTCTTGGACCCTAATAGGCACTCAGACACACGTAACAGTGGCACGTACCTAAACAGACTCTAATAGGATGGAAGGAGCGGGGCTGATGAGCCACCGCGCGCAAGCGAGTGTTTTGTGTTGTCCGAACCGAAACACCTTTCATAGAGTTTTAATAATGCCCTTCATAATATTTCGCCAGTGCAGAAGTGCGCCGGTTGAAAAAGGGGCGAGCGACGTCAATTCAGCTGGTTAATTCTGACCATCAATTTCCCTTTTTCCGTCTCATTTGTTGCTGTTTCTCAAGGGCATTATCGAACAAGGTGGCGGCTGCATTGCAGCACCGCACAAATAGGCAGCAGACGAGGCTCCGAAATGCATTATTTCCAGTGGTACATATATAGCGGCAACAGCAGGCCCCTTGTCGATGATAATAATGATTAAGGTCCTGCTATTTTATAGAACTAACAATAGCGACCATTCGGACGTCAACAGTAGTAGCACAAGGAGTGAAAAAAACTCATGTTATTGACTCTGAAGGCTCCTTATGCCTCGACCAACTTATCTCATTTGATATATATATATATATATATATATATATATATATATATATGGTAAGTGTTATTACTATTGAACTGTCGCGGCCAGTTGTTTTGTTGCTTTCGAAGCACCAGGCAGCGGTACGACAAGGCAGGACAGACTGGTAATGACGGTAGACAAACTTTCCCCTCTGACGTCGCATAAACAGGGACGCTGTTCCGATGCGATGGTGAACAAAGACCGCCCCTTCAAGGTTGTCGATCAGCGACGTACCAATGTGCGCTGACTGTCGTTTGATTTTATTGTTTGTCGTCGCTGTGTCTGTTCATGTTGGCGTTCGGCAACAGGCGAAACGCGTCTCTCTTCTCGTGGTTTGTTTTTTTGCGTTCGTTGTTTGGGGTTCAGATTTTTCGCATGCACACCTTTACCAATGGCGCAATGACCGAGCCATTGCCACTAGCCACCATCGCTAAGGCCGTGTCAGCGAACTTCATGGGGGGCTCTTGACAGCACCGGGGCATTTAATTCGACTTCGTTTGATGGTCTGTTCCCATATGTTAAGAAGATGTTGGCTAGCAGTAATGCCGTCGGGGCAGTGCAATGCCACGTTAGACCGTCTCCAAATGATTGGCTCTATCGAGCTTAGGAGACTACAGAAAGCAACGTTATTTATATAGATCTACTATACACGAATAGGATAGGGCCGTCTATAGTAAATGAAAGTCCGAGGCTTTTGTTTCGACATGTTTCAGCACAGCGGTGTCGTTTGGTTTGGACTATTTGGCCCCAATATCTTGCCGTTGATGCGCTCGTCACCGTTGCTATTAATAATGGTGATTCAAACGTGTATGGTTTGATTCTTTCAGGAATGGGAGATGCTGGTCCTGCTAACCCTCGATTGGAATACGGCCTGTGTGATTGCCAACGACCTCCTTGACCAGCTCGTTCACCGGCTGCCACTAGATTCTCAGCACCAGAGGCAAAAGGAAACTCTTCGGAAACAGGCTCAAACTGTCATTGCGCTCACAGCCACTGGTCAGTGAGTTTTGGGAAATTACGGATTTGAGATTACAAAAATAATGTAAAGTAACCGAACTGGCAGATCAGGAGTCATAGCTGCTGATATGAGGTCCCTTTAAATCAGAGGTTGCGTTTGATCTCATCGTCTTTTGTACTGTTCGTGTTAAAGGCATCATATTATAGCAGCTGGAGTCTACGCCGTGAACTATAACAGCACGTGGTTTGCACATGTGCTTTAAAGTGCTTGATGCTGAGTACCGCCTTCCCAGCATAAAATTTCCGCTATCAAGGAGCTATCACACTATATCTGAAGGACACAATGTGATCGCCATAGGCAATAGGAATACTGTTAGTATGAATATTACACGCTTTTCGAACCAATCTACTCACACAGAGGTATACACACACATACTTAAAAAAGCAAACACACAGGCACACACGTATCGATGTGTACCGTACGTGGTCAAGTCTACCGCCACTGCCTTCGTCTTTGGCACTTGCTACTGCGGTCGCTGCCGCCGTCGCATTTGTGTTGCATTCTTTCAAAGCCTTAACGCGCAGAACCTTTACAGTGCCGCTGTGGGCGCGCTCGTGATAGTGATCCTGGCCAAGCCCGACTTCTCTGTGGTCCGTCGGCAGCTTTTTTCTGTCTTCACTCGTACTTTTCTTCTGCTCTTCTCGCTTTTTGGCTAGACTCAGATCCGTCAGCAGTTTCGCCCTCGGCGAATGAGACGCGAAAGCATCAATCGTCATCGTCGGTGCTGTTATTGCTGCCCGCTTTCCACTTGCCACCACTACTTTTAACGCTACTAGAGCGCCAGGTCTTCAGAACAGCAGCTACCTTTGGCGCCGACGAAAGTTTGCGGCGCGACTGGCGCATTTTGGGTGAAACCGGTTGAGCTGTCTGTTTGTCTGTGTATGCGTGCGTGCGTGTGCGTGTGTGTGTGTGTGTGTGTCTGTGTGTCTGTGTGTGTGTGTGTGTATGCGAATCGTCCAGACGTAGCTGCCGTCGTGGTCGTCGATGGCCAAGTGGAAGCATCCGAGCATTACAAAGATGCTGATGGCGGCGGTGGTGATGGCGATGTCCTTTTACTGCTCCCGATCGGATGAGAGCTGCCGCATACACACGTTCCTACTGCTGTTTGCGCCGAATCGGCGCTGCCTGTCGTCGTCGTCGTCGTCGCCGTGTCTGGCGATTACCGCCACTTGCTATCGCTGTCGTCGTTGTTGTTGGCTGTCGATACCACCGACAGCGGGAATTGACTGCAGCTGCGCCGGCGCATCGCGTCGCATCTCACCGTAGTATAGTAACAATCAGTTCATTGAGACGACAACAAGCTGCTGCCCGCGAAAAACCACTCACTGACTGGCTGACTCAGGATGGCGGCTGACCGGGGAAAGGATGAGTGCGCCAATAAGCAAGAAAAATTGAAAATTAGATGGAAAAGCAGCAGCAGAAGAAGGAGACGACATCGGAACGGACCCCAGTCCAAGCTGAAGCGTGCTGCGACTGGGGCTACGGCGGCGTTGGGGGCAAGAAATGTCGAATCCTCTATGTCTGCAAGTAAACAGCTACGAAGGCAAAGAATAGCAACGCTGAAGGGAAGAGGGGTGGTGATTTTGCCGATGCCGGCTTAATCGTTAACTACTAGCGGCACATTCGTTCTGCGCGGCTTGCGGCTGATGTTAGAGCTGGACAATGCGCGGACACAGAAACTGGTGGCGCGTCGAAACAAATAAAGGATAACGGATAGCGAAAACGGTAGAAAGAAGGAAACAGCAAACAGAGTCTGACACGAGACGCAATAACGGATTAGTCACAATTGTTGGCGCGTGCGTTCACTTGTTGTGGTTTGCTTGTGCGTCCAAGGGTTCTATGTAACGTAATCCGCATATGGGTGCGTGATTGACGTATGAACGCAATGAGGTAACGGAGCAAACGGTTGAGAATGCCGTTAGGATGGAGTGGTGAAATAGCCCGAAATAAAGGAAAAGAATTGGTGTAAGCTGGAATAAAGAACGCAGTTGCTCGAATCGTCCCATGAATACACACGACCAAGAAACCGTACAATTTATACCTTAGTTTACAAAGTACAATGCGTACTTTGAGACGTTTGTTCAGATGTATTATGTTGGCCATTTTACTTACCGTCGCCATCGCGTCACGGAAAGAGGGCTTTCTCTGACTCATTAATTCGCTGAACAGCCCCCCTGGAACAGCTTAAAAGCTAAAAGCCTAGGCAATGACCGAGAGCTAAGGCAACGAAAAGGACATTGCTGAATCGTTGCTCGATTGTCTATCTATTTTTCTGCTGCTGCTGAACAGAGATCTTGTTGCGACCTACCGTCTCAAATCACACATAAGCGTACGGCTGGTCTAAAGCGTCTGTTCAGAGATCAAGGAACACCATGCCATATACCATAAGATGTATTTAGATACGACATCAAGCGCAGCTCAATCACTCGCTCTAACTTCCTGTGTATGTATGTATTGTATCCGCGCGACGCGGAATCAAAGATTACGTCTGTGTCTACGAATTTCTGGCGTTCTGACGGACCGAATCAGGTATCTGCCTCGACAGATCTGCTACCGATGAAGATCAGCTTGCAAGGCGCGGCCACCATACGGTTTAACAGTAGCCGGAGTACTACTCGCTGCTAGCACCTCTGATACACGTTGAATTTCTGGGAGGAGTCAATCAAAACGTCATTCGTTGGTCACGTTCAACGTATCTTCAATTAACGTTAATCTTGCTCGTTCGAAGCTGTCGTTTACGAAAGAAAGCAGTCCCAATTTCATTTGATATGATGGCATTAATATATATCAAAATAAACGTAAGCTCCCGTCATCAGCGGTCACGAAAAGGCAGCTTGGATTGCTTCGAGTCTCGTTAACGTTTAGCCTCATTATTGGTAAGGTGTAAATCATTTTTGTGGCGTGCCTCGTGAAACTGTTCATTTACTAAGTCGAGCTAAATCAGCTATGGTATCAGAACATTTAGAGTATCTGAAAACGTTGTACGGAAGATCATTTATAGTGTTAACCGTAAGCAAACGCCACCACGACATTTTCAATGGACGTGGTCCAGACTAACCAGACAACGTCTTTTCTAGCGTGTTGCGCGCCAAATTCCTGCTTTAGTTTCGGGGCCTTTCTTTTGTCAAATTTTGAGATGCTTTCGGCGAAAACCGTTGAGGTCCTGTCGGGGCACCGCAGCTGCCCTCAGTTCTGTTTAGAGTATTCACCATCCACTATAGTAAGCAGTTACGGGTGGCTTTCATTCAACAAAGGCGGGCCAACCGTTTTTCTCAATGAAGAAGGCTCAGCCGACTGCTCGATGTGCTAGTGTACTAGATTCCCTAACATTCCTTGCTTTGTCCTGTCTGATACCTTCTAAATCTTCTGAACCACCGACTTCTTAAGGCTTGTCATTTTGCCTGTTCGGGCCTGCTTTAGTCGTTGCAAGAATTTTGAAGCCAAGATCTCGCCGCCGCCGCTTCGAAGTTTGCAAAAGCAAAGCTAATGGACTTGTTCGAGATCTTTCACTGTCCAGGTTCAAACGTTCGAGCGTTTGACATTTCCGCCCCCTTTGTTGTCCTGGTTTTCTAGTGTTGAGAACTACAACCGTTGAATCCTGAGACTTCGGCCAAGGCATTCTTGAAATTTCTTCTGCTTTCTATTGGGCCCGTCTTAGCGGTATCAGAATCAATGGGCACGGAGTTCAAGCCGCAAGCTGCGCGTTAGTTCGCAAGACATTCTTCATCTAAGCAGACACACACACACACACACACAGAAACCTGTATCCGCATTTTTTGCGCATAAAATGGAGAATTGGTGTTGCAAATGTCACCAATTTTTTTCAACGGACGCGTATACAAAAACGATAGTTTTTTTGGCTTGTAGGATCGTTTGAGTGAATTTGGTTTCTGACGAATGTTTCATTTCCTTCGCGCTCGTCGTTTGTTGCAGAGTTCAAATTTAGCCATTACATACCCTCGATCGTTGCTGCCGCTTCGATGGTCGTCGCAAGCGGGTACGTCCTGCGTCTCTCACGGAGACAGAAATCTGACATGATGAAATGGGCCCAACTGGCAGTTCGCGCAGATGAGGTACGTTTTAACTATCACATTAGTAATTGCCATAGAAAAAAAAAAACATGTTATAGTATCGGTAAACACAAATGTGTTAGCTGTTCGTATTTTACGTGGTACGTTTTTTAGAGTCGGCACGGTTTGCTGTTACGCGTTTCGTGGATCATGTTTAGCGCAGGTTGTAGTAATTGCTGTTGTGACACTGCCGTTTCCGCCGCTGCTGTGGGTTAACGTTTGTTCTCAGTGGAGCGACGGCTGTCAGTCGACCAATGTGTTGCCGGTTGAAACGAACAAACGAAACGGCCTGAGTTCGTAGGTACATTAGTAGTGCCTTACCAGTAGCGGCCAACATCACGGCAGAACCAGCAATAGCTGCAGCAGACGGCCTGTGACTGTTGTGAATGGCAGCTGCCTAGATAGATACTGATGGTGGTGATGATCCGGCGATACTCTGTATACACTTAGAGCCCTAACTGATAGTGCTGGTGCTAGGTCTTGATGGTGGGCCCGGTGTTGGAGCGCTTGGTCGAACGCACCAGGGCTGACGCAGACTGTCCCGCGATCGTTGCGACAATTACAGTCCCCTCAGGTCGCTTGACCGTAGCACTGTGCTTCTACACTCGGAGAGGTAGGATTTGGAACAGGAGGACCGTCGTTCGTTTGGACCGTCCAGCTCTTTGAGTCTGACAGAACGGAGCCAGACCGGAGAGATTAGGTCATAGCTATAGACGTCGTACTTTCGTTTCTACCTGATATAAGTATACGTTACAGTTAGTATCGCTTTATAGAGCGCCGCTCGAAAATATCGAGATATCAGAGCTTCTATAGAAGACAATACTAGAGAGCTAAAGTGTAGCGGCTTAAATGTGCAGCGCCGTAAATGGTCTACACGTTCTAAACGTGTTGGGTTTTACACATTGTTACAAAGGGGAGCGACGAGTGCGCTTGCCAGGTCGTGTTTATCCACAGCTAGCTATCACTGCCGATGGTTGTTATTTAGACTTCGTCGACTTTGGATATCGGCAACATGGAGCCGTGCGCTTGTACTGGTATCGACCTGTGTCTGTGATGACCGCATACATTTCACAATATCGAATGATCGTTATCTGGAACTTCACCTTTTGCGCTTTTCACTCTCTTTCTCGATTCCGCTCTGTCAGATTGTTGTTCTTTCACCACGATAACTTCTCTACTGTGAGAGATTCGTGGCTCGATGCTCCATGCCTGGCTGTTCATGTACATCGGCTCGTTTTCATTTCGGCAATGCTCACCTTAACACTTGAACGACTTCTGACGTAGGACCTCCCGGACGAAGACGCCACAGACTCGCAAACCACCACTGCCGGCGCCATTTCCACAACCGGTATAACTGGTAAACGCTACTGTGGCTGCAGTTATCGATGCCGCTGCCATCGCCGTCAAGAGCTCTTAATCCGCAGTACATGCTAAAGCCCAATAAAATCTCCCACAAGCTGCTCGAAGCCAGGTCTACAGCCATCAAACACTGCCGATTCACAGTGTGTGTGCGTGTGTGTGTGTGTGTGTGTGTGTCTGTGTGTGTGTGTGTGTCTATCTATCTATCTATCGCTAACATTGCGCACGACGCTGAGCATCGCGCCGGGTTTTATTACTGTAAACGAGCGATCATTTCGACCGGCTCACTGGCCCGTGCGTCGCTCGTCGCTCCCGTCGTTCACACCATCCTATTCCGCCTTACTACGCAGAGCAAAATTGTAATGCAGTCTTGTAATTACTGATAGTAGTAGTAGTAGTAGTAGTAGTAGTAGTGGTTGTTGTGGTTGTAGAAATAACGCTATAAGAAAACGTCGGAGCGACATCACTTGGAATGCCGACACCGCAGCTTACCGTAGTTTTTCATTCTCCTCCCACAAGTTAAACACCCATCGGATCGAATCAGATCCAGAGCCCGATTCATCGAACGAGCACCGCGTGATCACTCGTCATTGTCGATTGTTCGTTTCGCTGTCCCGTCTATGTAAGCGTCGTGCAACATGTTGAAATTTTCATTTGTACAACCTGCCTCACGCTAAAGATATCATAATGTATTGATTGTCAATACATAGAAAAGAATAAACGTAAAAATAATTCGCGTGGAAAAAGCCGGACGCATCTCTTTGCTGAGACACAGGGACAACAATGATTTACTGCAGGACACTAAAACGTATTATCAAGAACGATTTTCTGTATACATACTTTTCTATTAAATGTTGATAATTATAATAATCTTATAATAGTACAGTAGCATATATCCGATGATCGCAAAATCCGACGCCCTGGTGTTTAGCTACGATAAAGGCGGTACGATCCATAAATATATCCTGAGGTACTATACGATAGACGGAGTACGGCCTCTATTGCTTTTTTATACTGCTGTTGTTGTTGTTTTTATTGTTCCGTTGTTGCTGTTGTTCGTTCTACTACAAATATGCAGCTATGATAAAAAATTAATAATAGTCATAGTACGTACGACAAAGATACACCTCATAGACGTAATTGCAGTAGCAGCAGTCGGTTCGATCTTTAAGGCGTGTCCGGGAAGCGAGACCGTCCGCCACTACCCCAGGAGATAAATCGTCGAAGGAGAACCCTTCGTTACCGCTGGCTCTCGAAAGACGCTACTTAGATAATATTGCGATATACGTAGGTAGCTCAATGGAAATAAGATAAATTAGGGACGACATAACACCAATTTCATGAACGAAGAAATCAGAATTAACGTGGACCCTTTAGCAACGACACGTAGTAAAGAATCCAATCTAGTAAGAACAACAACAACAACAACTTCGCAGATTACTGACATAAGCGCTCAAATTAATGGCGGCTAAGTTGGCCGTTGCTAGCGGATAGTGTCGCTAATTAGAATAATCTATAGATAAGAAGATAGATAAGCTGAGCGATATCTAAAGGAATCTAATAATCCAAAATGTTATTTACTTTTTTTTTTCCCTTTCGATCCGTAGGAGGAATTAAGGGTCTGTACCGAGGCAATCGATGACTTTATCACGAAGAACTTCGCGCCCCAGGTGCCGGCTGAGGACTCAGCTCCGCCCGCTGGTCCCGTTGAAGTACATCACAAAGTCAAAGAGGACATTGCCGTAACAAATCAAGGCCAGCCCGAGACACCAACGGATGTCCAGGATGTCCTAAGCGATTTTTGAACGTTCCCCAGTAAAGGCTACGACGGCCTAGTTAGAACTGTTGCAGACTGAGGATACTTCCCGCAAAAAGAAGAACCCTGATACGAGCAACTTGAATTGGGGAATACGCAAAAGGCTACTTGTATAGTTTCTTGCTACCGACAGATCTTCGATGAGAGCCCTATACCAATAAATCGGTGGACGCTGAAATACAAGAAGGTTCCTTTTTCCCCGGCGACCTGCTCCCAATTCAACTAGTCAGAAACTACCCCCGTGTGTGCATCAGTATATTTTCCTAATAGTTTCCGAATAAAGGACTAACTAATAGCCCCCATCAGGAAGAACACCTGCTGAGAAGAAGAATTCGCCGCCACTAGCACCCCGACCGAGAGTAAGCCTGGGAACATTCATTTGTCCACTAATTTACAGAAAGCCCAATATTTGCGCGCTCTTATGCAGAGTTAACAAACACGAATTTTTTACGAAGGAGAAGAATGATCCATACAGAGGCTGTCCGCTGTACGTTCGCTGGTCGGCTTCTTGTATATAGTTAATACTCTACACAATATTTCTGGACACAATTTTACCAGAGAAAGAAAGGGAAAAAGGAAATAGAGTGGCAGAGAAAGAGAGCGCGCGTAATACAAAAAAAAAAAAAAAAAAAAACAAAAACAAAAAGAAAATGGCCAAAGCGACATCTTGTTTTTCTGTAGAATTGTTCGGCGCGATCCTAGAGGTGAACGCGTTCTTAACCAATATAGGAAACTACGGTTACCGAATTTGTAGACTTATGAACATATCGGGTGACCGTTCATGAAATAGTAGCCTTAAGTACGCCAACGGGTAAAGTCTGCTGCTTGTGGAGAAAATCGATAATGCTCAATACTCCATCGACACAGGCACTGGGTAAGCAGTACGTTTGCGGGCTGATCAAGATGTAGTCAACACATGTGCGAACACAGCACAGCCAAGTGCAGAAACCTCTAAATGAAGACGATAAAGGCTTCACTTTGTAGATTTTCTATGGGTAGGGAGAGGCACGAGGCAAACACTTTTTTTTTTTACATACTTTGACGTTCCGCGTTTGAGCTAAGAAATCGACAAAAAAAAATGCAGGTCTGTGTAAAGAGACGTTTATATTCGCGTACTGGTTACATCGATCGTCGCGTTTGAGTTTTAACATAAGATGGGCATTAATCATTTTTTTTAACCCTTAACTAATCCTGACCACAATAAGGCATTAGACATATTTTACCAAGAAGCTGCGGGTAGACATATTGGTGAAGACTTTTGGGTTTCTTTTATAGCTGTTTGTTGCGGTGATGCCAATATGACTTCGAACTTGTAGCGGTATTACCACAACGAACCGATAGCATTTCTCTACGAAGAGTACTAATAACATACGATATATGTGCGCGTGGTATTTGAACGCATGCTTCCGCACCCTCCAGGGGTACAGCTCGGCAATGAGCGATGCCGCAGGCTTGAGTGTCATTCGCTTCTTGGAGGTCAGAGAGCAACAGAACACAGGATTTTGAGAAGCATTTTTCTACAAAACAGTCATTATATTACTTGAATTCTGTATTGTTTCGATACGACGATAGATATATATATATATATATATATATATATATATATATATATCTATGGAAAGAGAACAGAAAGGCATCTTTCGCTTATACAGATCGATTGAGGTCGCTCGTAACCGTATAGCAGTATTACACGTATACCCAGCGAGACCACAAAGTTTTAGATCAGGTGTTGGCAGGCATGCGACGATCGCTAGTTAGACATGTGCAAGATAAAAGTATTACCTAGACGAAAAAATAATGATTTGTGACACAAACACGGGCCGATTCTGTTTCCGTTTGCCAGAGCAGTCTCGTAACGAAAACGACCATTCTCGCCGTATCTTGCCGGCAATACAGATTTACTGATGGACGATTAAAGCATCTGGGTAACGAGACGGCATGAGCTTTTCTCATTGAGAAACTATGGAAGAGTTCATGGCTGTAATAGAAGGTGTTAGTTATTAATACCGTTAAATTGATAGTAATTATTAACCTTATCATCAGTATTATCATCACTGTGATTACAATGGTGATGATTTCGTACCGCAAATTTTGAATTAAAGATAAAAATCATTATTGATCATATATACAAATGTCAATGAGCATTATATTTATGCGAGGAAAAAAGATGCTGAAAAATGCAACCCATATGCCCGGTATGAGGGCGTAGGAGTTAAAAAAAAGTTCTTTCCATTTGTGATATAAACGAAAATAAAAAATACGGAAGAAAATAGTAGTAATGATGTCATATATATATATATATATATATATATAAATATAATCTGTGTGCACTATAATAAATGGAAAAAAACACGATATTAAAATATCAAAGCCAACGAGGAAGAAGCAGATCAATAGCGAGACGAAGCTTGTTTGAAGATGTTCAAAAGCGAAGAACGAGATATATGTGTGTTACAAACAACATTGACAAGAAGAACACGCTATTGATACGAGACGGTTAACACGACAGCATGGAAAAACAGTGTCGAAAAGTCAATTCGTTATTCCGTTTGTTTTTTTTTTTTTTTTTTTTTTTTTTTGGGCTATTTTTTTCCCAATGTCAAGCCCAATGTTGGACGATGACACAATTCATGTCAAGTAATGTCATCTGTAATAAAGAGCTGTAAATATAAAAACGATAATAATAATAATAATGAAAATATTTAGTAACGATAAAATAAGTAAACATCGGACAAGGTCCTCGTGACGGTGATCTTGACGAGGGCACGATTGCATGGCGATGATCAAACGATGGGGCAAAACATCTGCTATGAAATCTGATGATCATGGTGATAACTTCGAAATCCATAAAGAGAATAAAAATATGACGACAAGAAAAGTGGCAAAAACAAACAAATAAAACAGTTCTCTTTATCAGCAACTAAATTTGAGTGTCTTTAATTTAGTAAACTTCAATATAAATAAATAGGCCAAACAAATAATTTTATAGCTGAAATTGATCAATGAGGCAATCCGCAGCTTTTGCAAGATTTGTACAGGAACAAAACTATATCATAATAACGAAAAACGTAGATTTGCTTTTTATTTGTGAAAAAATTACTTAGATCCGTTATGTAGTACAGTCCAGACTAGAAGCTAGTTCAATAAGCAGCAACAACAACAACAACAACAACAACATCAACGCTCAAAAAACACGCACACAACCAGACTAGAAAAGCTGCAACAAATACAGAATGTTGTTACGTTAGTTTTTTCGATACAATGTTACTATACGTTCCGATACGATGGGTATGTCTAGTGATAAGCCACAGCTACGGAGACGATGCTAGTGATATTACATGATTCTTCATGATACCCGTACATGCATATGTTTCTTTCTTTTAAAGGACTTCTCGTTGTCGATGTCCGATTAGAGAAAAGATGCTATCACCCACCAGGACTGGGATTTCTCAGGTTAAACAGCCGGAACGATTAAGCGACCGCCGTCGAACCGATTCTGTTTTGTCGGACATCTGGTAGACGCGACCGGGGAAACAACTATGACCATGGCGACGAAGGCACACGCCAAGGGGGATATCAAGAACGGCTGTGGCATGGCACGAGAGACTTCACCACAAGCGCTGAGCCATATATTGTACAAGTTGAGATATATGTTTTCCCCAACAAACGGTCATGCTGTAGATGGCCGCGGTAGGAAAGTGGTTTCGCGAAACAAGACGCATTAGTACATCATATGTGGGTCATAATCGTGGTGGTCACGTTTATGGCCATTTGATTTTTTGTGTAGTAGAAAATAAGAGCACGAGGAGCTAGTGCTATGTTCGATATCGGAAAGACCTTGCGATCTCAATTATAAACAACATGAATCATAAATCTGTAGCCTGTTTTACAACTAACCATTTAAACAACAACGGCATTTAAGATCATTCTTACTGGAGCTCGAACGTGATCGAATTTGTACCGACAAAGTCCCTTGGGAACTGTCATTGACACAGCATGACCTTTCCATAGCAGGAACGTTTTTGAAATGGTTTGTTATGAATTAGAGGAACTCGCAAAGCTTTCACACACCTACAGTCTTAATATATCTCTGCTGTTGTCCTTATCCAATATTTTGTTGCTGAAATCATTTTCGAGAGATCTAGTCATTTTATTGTTTCGCCTTCTCCAGGCAAAAGGTGACATTGGACATTTTTAACGAATAAAAAATCAAAAATCGCTGGTTTCCTCACAACGTGACCGAGAATTATCGTTGAGAGGGGTTCATAATTCACGATGTGATTGCTGCCGATCCTGCTGAGAGTTTTCCAGAAGCACCGTTACGAGTAAAAAGCAAATTCTGGCTACTGCCAAGCTAGCATAATTCCGCTACCATTTTAACATATCGATGATACCCGAACGGCGGAATCGACTTCCTCTTTCTTGATCGATTTTGTCCTTACGCAAGGTAGCCAAAAAAAAAAATAGTAACAGAGGGAAAAATGAATGCATGTTATATTTCAAAGGTATTGCCGCTGCGAAAAGTGCCGGTATTTGTGTTGGCCAGTCAGGGCTCTAACTCTTAAGCGCCGCACGAGGTCCAGTCCTTCCAAGCCATCACTGAAAGGCATTGCGGAATCTGTTGTAAGCATTTCTATACATCCTACCTAGCAGCAGCAGTAGCAGCAACAGCAACAGCATCAGTAAAGTTGGTCCTCCGGCATCTGCCGCTTCTCTGAAAGCCTCTGTTTTGTTTGGTCTTTGATAAAAATACCTTCACTCGGCATATGTCTATCTTCTACTTCGCGACGAAATAACTTCGTCGTTTGACGCTGCGGCAGGCCTTCAGTTTCACCGGTGGTTCTTTACTGATCCTTCCTCCAGTGTTTTACGCTGCCCTGATCAGTCTCCTACAGACTCACTCTTCATCGTTCGCCGCCTTCGTATGCTTCGGCCCTGATCGAAAGACGAAACAGTAGAGAAACGAAGAAACCCAACAGTACTAAAAGTACCGCAACGTAAAGCGGTACTTTGACGGGATAAAGCCCCTCGGCAGCGGAATCGTGTCGGAGTGCTGCACGGCAATGCTACGCCGGCGACCGCGAAGGGGGTGCGCGGTAACACTTTACAGAGGGGGAACAGCAAGAGGCAATCAGTAGAAGAAAATCAAGAAAAAAAGGTGCATAGGAAATACGTATGCCAGCACACGCAGCATTTACTGCATATCGCACAATCTAATGCGTCCGCCTATAGAGGACGGTCGCGGCGTATATGAGGGAGTGATGTGTGGCTGCTGCTGCTAGATAATAGTAATAAATGTTGAAATTCTTTGAAAAGCGCTGTAAATTTTTCTTCCAGTCTCTTTGCCGCTGTACAGAGTTTCACACAATGTTAGACCTGACGCTTTCAACGGCATCGCAGTATGTGAGTGACGCAGTAAACGGATATGTATATCGTTGTCAATGGGCGATATTCGATTAGGAAGGCTGAAGCATTGGGTTCAATAATAATTATCATCAGAATAGTAATGGTAAATTGACCTAGAAGAACAAAAGCTAGAGTTGCTCAAAGCGCATTGGGATCCATTTTTAGATAGACAATGTTTAATTAGCATTGTGCTTCATAGAGCCGAACAGGAAGGGGTCTAAAGAGGTTACTTAGACAACGAACTTGATATATTAGGCATTTCTGAGCGAGACCCGCTACAATCTAATTAACTACAGCACTGAGATGAGTCTCGTTATTACAATGTATATATGTCTGATATGAAAAATGCATGGAATACATGAATTCAATGTTGGACATCTTCGCGGATAGCCGAACGGGTTCAGGCATCTGATCTCAGTGGCAGCATGCCGTAACTAGCAAACCTGTTCCCTACACGAAACTGTCATAAACGGCACTCCTTTAATTTGCCTCTTAACCGTCCGGGTATACATTCTCATTTATAAATCTCATTTTTTTACCGTTTCGCAACAGCTTTTATGTTATGCTATTCTTGCATATCTTGCAAGAATTTCCAGCTTGTATATAGCTATAGCAGGAACGTACAAGTTCGCTTCGGAAGCACGCAATTTATTCGTAAAACAACGTACCTGATGCTGACGACAACAGCTGACGCCAAAGCTCAATACAAACAGCGCGCTATTATCGATCAAAAGAAAATTGCTTTGCCAGCTGAAGAGACTGGGGCTGGACGACGATAGAACATATCGGTCCGAATTTTTCCTTGGGATCCTGTTAGACGTCGCATATTGGCACGCAGTATCCATCACACATCGATTTTTCTCTAGTTTGTTGTAGTGCAAACTGTGGTATCGATTGGGTCAAATGCGTCACATGGCAACATACTTCCAGTTTAGTCCATGCATACAACACATGACCGGGTCATTGGCAGTTGCTGGCTGCCCAGAGTCTACTAGCGGGCTCCGCGAGTCCAGCAAAAGCAGCCCAGCAGAGCTGGTAATGAGATAAACGGCAGCTACTCATGCCGATAACGACGGGAAATCGAGGCAAGAGCAGAACACAGGCACCCAAGAAAAATCATCGGACTATCAAGGAGATAAATTTAAGTTATGACAAAAACGAATATTGACGCTTCGCTTCCAGGCCAAAGCAAGTAGAGCAGCGGCGCGCTTTTGCTAATGCAGGTGTAACATTGCACAGTTTACCTTCTATCTTACTGATGCATACTGTGAGCCAGGCCAAGCAGGGCTTGACCTCCGGACCAGATCGGCGTGAAGGAGCTTCGTCCGATGAGAGCATGTGCCGGTCAACTGGAATTTATTGCATGGAAACGAAATCGCGGGGTGAATTGCAAACGTCGTATTTATCCGATATAGTTGGGTCACTTGGAAAGATTTTGGCGAGCGCGGAACAGCGGATAGCGTCGTCGAAACTGGGCCGTCCTATAATATCAGAAGAGACATTTATAATAGAAGGGCGAGACCAGAAACTGACTACTCGGCGTCCAGACGCTGTGCGTTTTACGCTAGCTGGAACGTGTTCGATGATTTTCCAGAGTCTGAGTTGCCAACATGTAAATAATTTCAGTTAAATGGAGGTTTACCGACAATGGCAGCTACTAGCTATTGAGCTCTAATAGCTTCGGAAATGTTTTAACAATAAATCATGAATGATATATATATATATTTCGACAAAGCCTGATTTTTTTAATAATTTTTGAATTCAATAAGATCACGCCGTAGCGACAAGTATTTGTTTCTTTGACAAGTTATCGGTCTGAGGAGAACAGCGTTGGGCAGAGTTGTTTTAATAGAAAAAATATATCTAAA